AAACTGAGAGCGCCAACCTTCTGCTTGGCACGAAGACTTTCTGTACCAGGACATGCATTTTGCCTCCATGTATGCATGAGAATTTCTTGAGCAGGGCCAGAATTCATCCCTACCAAGTTATGCCACTGAAATCGGCTGTCTATCCAGCATATAATAAATCCAATTTCCAAGATTTCAAATCCCATTTCTGGCACAGGAGGGGCTTCCATTTAATTTGTGTATGTAAATGCAACTGTTTCTCAGCTGGATGAAAGGCTGGTTTGTGCTATGGGTAACGTACACAGATGCAGAATAATTGCTGATATTATAAACCTTTGATACCAAGCCGCTCAGTGTCCCCCCCTTCTTTCTGCATTATTTACTGCAATTCCAGGGGACATAAAATCAGCCATTTAGAAATCAAGCACTGTTATTTGCACTGCCATGAAATACTGAGAAACAATGGGCTCTTTCCAGACAATCAGTTTATGGAGCAATAAATGCATGGTTGTTACTAGTTTGTTGAAACATATCCAGATTTCTCCAGTCAAGGAAGCATTTCTGTTGGGGGCATGTGCCTTTTCTAAGGACCCAAATGGCAATATTTTTGGGCAGGGAAAAAATAGATTTCTCCACAAGCTACTGGGACCATAAGCACCATGCTGAACGTGGCTGTATACGTGTCAAGGGCATTTCATGTATAATTGCCAGTGATACCGCAAGAGACAAACAGCTCCCCACTGCTGTGCTATTTTGTGAGCTTTTATTTTTCTAAATTATCTTATTTTTAACATGCTCTGCAGGTGTGCAGTCTCCCACTGTGCCCCCACAGTGCTGGAGCACTCAGAGATTAAAATAGCAGAAAGGCGACCCTCATCTACCACCCTCCTACATTGCCCTGACATTTAGGGAATTTTAAAGAAGGTGGGCTTTCCGCTCTGAAAACTTGGGAGGAGGGGAGCTTGTGTGGTTCATGAACAAGCCACGCAACATTTCCCTTCTCGCAATGCCCACGTGTTTTTCCATTTTCTTGAAAGTGGGGTTGTTGTTTTTAGAAGCTGCAGTGATTCCAAAGTTCTATTTTCTTTTCAGGTGGTTCTTTAAAGCCTGCATGCTGCTCCTCTCCAACAGTATCATTAAAGATGTATCATTAGAGATATAGCAAGGCATCCATGGGAGGGAAGGAGTATTAGCGGTTTTATGAAATTTAATTACAGCTGTGGATCATCTAATCAGGCATTTTGATCCTTTAGGAGGGGCGGCAACACTACAGGTGCCTGTAATGAAATTATATTGGCCCCTTTAGCTTGCAAAGACCCTTCCGGAGGAGGCAATCACCATAACAGAAAGGGAGGTAGGGACAGAAGTACTTAACCCTTCCCCTCCGCAACCGCTTTACCCCGCAGCGCTTCCCCTCTTTAGCTGCTTTCACTCCCATCAATTTCCTAAATCCATGTTCACTGCACAAATATCTGGCTAGAATCCCTCAGGGATAGGGAAGGAAGTTCTTTGAGAAAAGAGGCCAGTGGGGAAGGATTAATTACCGTATTTTTTGCTCTATAAGACTCACTTTTTCCCTCCTAAAAAGTAAGGGGAAATGTGTGTGCGTCTTTTGGAGTGAATGCAGGCTGCGCAGCTATCCCTGAAGCCTGAACTGGAAGAGGGATTGCTGCTTTCACTGCTCAATGATCCCTCTTGCTGTTCTGGCTTCTGAGATTCAGAATATTTTTTTCCTTGTTTTCCTCCTCCAAAAACCAGGTGTGTCTTGTGGTCTGGTGCGTCTTATGGAACAAAAAATACGGTATTCATTTCCCCAGTGCAAATTACCCCTTCCAAGGGTCCTCTGTAAGGGAGAAGGGGCTGCCAGGGCTTTTTCACACACAGCTGAAGAACAACATGGTCACGGATTTTTCACGGTTTGGGGGCCATTCCGGACCACAGCAACACTGACTGCCATGCCCAATCCTCCATTAAGATTAACAAGATACCCACATCCCACCTATAATGGCTCTGAGGAGGAATCTAAGCTTTGGCAGCAGCTAGACACCATCTTTTTTTTGGCTGGTGCTTCTCCCTTGGCCCTTGGCCCAACCAGATGTGGCACGCCATTTCCCTCTCATCATTTAATATAGCACTTCAAGATAAATGTTTGGCAGAATACCTAAGTGAGATATAAATACGCTTTTTAAAAAAGGGAGATTTAATTTCTAAGCTCCATTAGCGAGCGTTTAGCACATTCCCTGAATCAAGAAGGCATGTGGGGTGGGAGGGGAGGCGAGAGAAGGGCTCCACACAGAAGTCTGCATGTGCAAGCTCTCTATGAAAATGTCTGGGTCCAATGGAGATTGATAATCCCAACCTATCATACCAAACCACTTAGCAGCGGCACAGGTAGTAAAACTGGAGCTGAGGAACAATCCCCTGACCCCCTACACCACCGCTGCTTACCTCAGCAGTTGCACAGGTAGGACCCATCAGGTACTCCCACTGCTGCACCTGTGGGACTCCCACCTGCCCTGTCTAAGCTCCATCCAAGCAAGCAGCAGCGGTGAAGATACCGAGTAGGGCAGCTCTGCCATGCTTACTTATTTATTTAAATAATTTGTATGCCGCTTAACGGCCGTAGTCTCTAAGAGGTTTACAAAGATAAAACACAACCAATAGACATCGGTTAAAACTATAAAAGTGAGCATCAATAGAAATGCCCCACTTTTGGCAGCTTTGCACAGCTAGGGAAGTCTCAAGCTGGGCTTGAGGGAGTTGGCATTTGGTGGGTGGTGGCGGTCAGTCTGGAGTTGTCTCTGGGTCCAATTTTAAACCAAGATGGGAAAGAATTTGGAGGCTCAACATGGAGGTGGACACTATGAGCTCCTGAAGCTTGTAACCAAACCCATGGCCAGCAAACTTCAATGACATTGCTAAGGAGAACCCATAATACGTACATCTTTCCACTGTAGTGAGAGCAAATTATTTTTCTTGACCCCATTAGGCTATACCCCTTTTCACTTGCAAACCTAATAATGTTCTCTACTGCAGTCTCTGTTTTGGGAAATGCATGTTGCATAATGAGTTGGGGTTTTTTAATGCTACATCTTCTGGTGTACAAATTAAATTGCATCAGTTTGTTTTCATTATTTTCTCCCTCCTTGGCAGTCAGTTTTAGACATTCCCTGCAAGCTCATACCAGTGTTCACTTTTAAGAGATGGAAACACACTAGCCCCAGTTCTTCAATGATATTGCAACAGTGGCAGTGGTGGACTTGGGACAGGACTTTGGGAATGTGCCGCAGCTCTGTGGCAGAGCATCTGTGGTGCGTGTAGGAGATTCCAGGTTCAATCCCAAGCATCTCCAGGTAGGGCTGAAAATATGTCTGATATCCTTGGCAGCAGCTGTCAACCACAGCGAACAATACTAAGCTAGGTAGGCCAATGGTCTGACTAGATGCATGGCCCTATGTTCCTACATCCCTAAATTCAGGGTCTCACTCAGCAGAAGGGATGGGTTACTGCATTTTGAAGTGACTTAATACATTTTAACATTAAAATATGTTTTCCCCATAAACCATTCAACCTAATGCCTTCCTAAACAAGCATGAGATGTGCATTTCGGTGCTTGAAGCTAGGGTGGGGGTAGACATACAATACCAAGAGGAACAGAGAGAGATTATCCAATGCTGTGTGTCTGGGAGAGTATAAAGGTTGTGCAACGAAGAAATACAGCACAACAGCTCTGCTAGGGAAGCCTGTTGTATAACAGCTGATCCTTGTTGTGCAGCTGATTGTTCTTGTGTAAACTGTTGCACAACAACCTTTGATAATGTTTTTGTGTACTCCCTTGCAGAGCAAAGTATGCTACTAAGTCACTTTAAGTTACCACTACATTGGATACAGCCCTTACTAACAAAGGATTTTAAAAGAATGTGTTCTGAAATGGTAAGGCATTGGTGCAGGAGAGGAGTAGCCTTGTTTGAGTTCCATAAGAATGTAAAAAATCTTGTTAAAGGGCAAATTAAGCATTTATGCACTAGAGAAAATAACTGCTCAGACAGAAGAGCACTAGAAATTTAAAAGCACATATACAATTTACCAAAAGGTTAAAAGTGCATCATTTGTTGGATAGGGAGGTGTACCTTTTGGCACTGACATCCCTGGGAGTGCAACCTAGATTGGATATATTTGTATCCCCCCCCCCCCCGCTGCACTGCTAAAAAGTTGTAAGTGCACCAACCATATCTAGAAAAAGACAAAAAAATGTCTCTACAAGCCTGGCCTCTCCCCTGTTCTCTCTTCCTCCAGTATTTACCTCTGCTACACTGAAACCTAGTTATTGTATTACAGATATTTTTGCCATCTCATGACCTCTAATCTCCCTACACATACACACACCAAAGAAAATCACCATGGGCAGGATAACCAGTAAAGGTAAAGGTAAAGGGACCCCTGACTGTCAGGTCTAGTCGTGGACGACTCTGGGGTTGCGGTGCTCATCTTGCTTTACTGGCCGAAGGAGCTGGCATACAGCTTCTGGGTCATGTGGCCAGCATGACTAAGCCGCTTCTGGCGAACCAAAGCAGCACATGGAAACGCCGTTTACCTTCCCACCAGAGTGGTACCAATTTATCTACTTGCACTTTGTGCTTTCGAACTGCTAGGTTGGCAGGAGCTGGGACCGAGCAATGGGAGCTCACCCCGTCGCGGGGATTCGAACTGCCAACCTTCTGATTGGCAAGCTCTAGGCTCTGTGGTTTAACCCACAGCGCCACCTGCATCCCTAGGATAACCGTTACTCATTAAGTATTCCTTTTTTATTATTTCTTGAGTTGTCTAGAGGAAAGGAGGAAAGGCTGTGTTTCAAATTCTGCATATAACCTTCAGGCTGTTTCATCAGCTTGGGTGGGGTTGGGGAAATCACACCATTTCTCAAAGGAACATAGGAAGCTGCCTTATATGAGTCAGACCATTGGTCCATCTAGCTCAGCATCTCTCCAGAGTTTTGGACAGGGAATCGTTCCTAGCCCAACCTGAGATGCCAGGGATTGAACCTGGGCCCTTCTGCACAGAAGGCAGATGCTCTACCCCCTGAGCCAACAGCCCTTTCTCTTGAGAATGCTGCTCCTTCCCCTGCTTACCATCAGCAGAGTGGAGATGCTTGCTCTTCTCCACCGCATGCCAGGCTTGCACAGGAGCTTCTGGAGTCTGTCAAAGCCAACTACAAAACCAAGGTGAGCTACTACGTGCTCCAACATCATCCTATTTAGTAGGCTTTACCCAAGCAGTAGAAAAATGACTATCTTTCACCCACAGCTGTCTCTGCTGGCCCCCAGTACATACTTTTCCTTCCTACCAATAAAGGGGTATAGGAAGGATAACACTTGTTATAGTGTGAAGCCACAGAGTACTTCTGTTTCAGTACTTTTAAAAGTACTGAATAAAAGTACTAATAAAAGTACTGCTTTTATTAGTTTGCTCTTCTGTTTTTGACCTTACACCGTTCTTTTTACCACTGGTGCTTCAATTACGGAATTTTATATGATTTTTTTAAAAAAACCAAAAACCCTGTAAACTGCTAAAAAAAAGTGTGTGTGAAAGCTAACACTGTACAAGCAGACTTCCACTCATACAAGGTGGCTTCTCCTTTCCTCTGCAGCCCTTTGTGCCTTCCCAAATCTGCTCCAGGGGGTCCTCCAACCCTCTGGGCATTGTTTTGGGGCACATGGGGGAGCTGCAAGGGGGGAAAGGGAAGGAAGGTTCTGTTGCATTAGAGGAAGTATGTTCTGGTCTGTCCCACCATCCTATAGAAATATACAGTGGTACGTCAGGTTAAGAACTTAATTCATTCTGGAGGTTTGTTCTTAACCTGAAACTGTTCTTAACCTGAGGTACCACTTTAGCTAATGGGGCCTCCCGCTGCTGCCGTGCCGCTGCTGCGCGATTTCTGTTCTCATTCTAAAGCAAAGTTCTTAACCCGAGGTACTATTTCTGGGTTAGCGGAGTCTGTAACCTGAAGTGTCTTTAACCTGAAGTGTCTGTAACCCGAGGTACCACTGTAAATACTATGGGCATAGTAAAAGCCCCTATAAGAACCGCAGCTCCCATAATACTCTGTGATCTGGTTGACACAGCCATTTGTTGTTGTTGTTTAGTCGTTTAGTCGTGTCCGATTCTTCGTGACCCCATGGACCAGAGCACCCCAGGCCCTCCTGTCTTCCACTGCCTCCCGCAGTTTGGTCAGACTCATGTTTGTAGCTTCGAGAACACCGTCCAACCATCTCGTCCTCTGTCGTCCCCTTCTCCTTGTGCCCTCCATCTTTCCCAACATCAGGGTCTTTTCCAGGGAGTCTTCTCTTCTCATGAGGTGGCCAAAGTATTGGAGCCTCAGCTTCAGGATCTGTCCTTCCAGTGAGCACTGAGGGCTGATCTCCTTAAGAATGGATACGTTTGATCTTCTTGCAGTCCATGGGACTCTCAAGAGTCTCCTCCAGCACCATAATTCAAAAGCATCAATTCTTCGGCGATCAGCCTTCTTGATGGTCCAGCTCTCACTTCCATACATCACTAATGGGAAAACCATGGCTTTAACTATACGGACCTTTGTTGGTAAGGTGATGTCTCCTGTCTTCCACAGCCATACCTAAGTGGAAATGCACAAGTGTGCAGGTTCCCAGAGAGGAAATGGTGGTACTCCCCCCCTCCCCTTAGATTTTTTTGTTTTTGTTTTTAAGGATCTGAAATATCCCGCTTGTATGTCTTTGCTGTTTATGGAATCCTAGAGAGCAGAACTAGGAAAATCACTCGTTCTTTGTAGGCTTCTTCTCATGCGACTTTAAGAACACAGCAGTAAGTCTCTCAGCAATAAGTCTCATGTCTAAACAACTTTGCATAGCTTTATTGTGCAAAGTTTACAACCGCAGAATTTTTCTAGAAAATGGCTTCTGTGCATTTTCTCTTGAGTAGATTTTTACATGTTTTCTAATGTTTTATTTTCATGTACCTGTGTCCTAAAAAAGGGGGGAAACCATACTATTTTCTTTTAAAAAATAGGAATGGCAGCTACTATAGGGATGATTGTGGGAGCATAAAACTTACCAACTCTCATCTAGAATTTATACTGGTTATAGGAAATATACATGACAAGAACTCCATAGATCACTCTTAGCGTCTTCGATTAATGTTTGAATTATAAAAACTAAGCAGTAGATGGCAGTATGGGTTAACGGAAAGGCTTCGTTTTAAACAACATCTATAAAACATCTTGGTAACATAACCTGCCTGTTAAGTGAAAAAGTACAAGGAGCAAGAAAGACAAATTTTATAGATTCAGCCCAGTAACTCCTGGATGCATAGGCCAACTGTAAAGCAGCACCTGTTTTGTAAGAGCGGCTGCTGACAGTCCCTTTGCAGGAAAACTAGTTGGAGGGTCTCTAGGTCAAAAGAGAAAGCCATGGCTGTAATTTCTTTATGCAGGAAAAAACTGCCTTACTATAAGAGCAGGAAAAACTGCCTTACTGGGTCGTATCAAGGTCTAACTGGTCTAGCACCCTGAATCCAACAGAATCAAAGAATTATCAGACCCTGGGATAATCACATGCAATCAACATTTGGTAATTAAAGGTATGCTGGGTTTAGCTGTCATGGCTACTAGTTGTGTTTGAATGCCATGCTTAACCATGGTTTAGTGTGATGTAAACATGCTGCAGTGAGTCTTGGATCCACGTGCTTTCTCCCACATTGCCATAAAGAGGAGTTTAGAAGCTTTCATTTCCACTTTAAGTTAACCATGCTTTTTGCATTGCCAGACTGGCAAATTGTTAACATCGGCTAATATTCTGTGGTTAACCTTAACTATGGTTTCTTTACACAAGCCAGCTTCAGAAATTATGTTTTGAAGTTGTCTTGTTTTAAATTAAACCGTAATTAAGGTTAACCACAATTTAGACAAAAACAAACAAACAAACAAACAAACCCCCCACCATTTTTCACTTCTATGCAAAGTCCCTGGGAATGATAATTTTTAACAACAACGCCATCTGCATACAGTAGTCTGCTAGCCTGTCTCATTCCTATACAGTGGTACCCCGAGTTACAAATGCCTCAGGTTACAAACGCTTCAGGTTACAAACTCCACTACCCTGGAAGAGTTACCTTGAGTTGAGAACTTTACCCAGGATGAGAACGGCGGCGCAGCGGCAGCAAGAGGCCCCATTAGCAAAAGCACGCCACTAGCTAAGAACAGTTTCAGGTTAAGAACGGACCCTACGAAATAAATTAAGTTCATAACTAGAGGTACCACTGTAGTTGAAGGATGGAAAGTGGGCACACATTACAATGTATCCATATAAAGATCCAGTTAAGTAAAACATCTGTCTTTTGAAACTCCACATCTACATAGTCTCTTGTGACTGATAATTCTCTGTCCCCTACTCCCAGAGGCTACTATTTGTATTTTTAAAAACATACACTTAAGTACAGACACATTTAACATCATGCCTAGCTTGGTCCCACGAGAACCTTGATAGTACAAGATATCATTTTGGGACTCTGAGGCAATCCCTAGTTGTCTCTTAACTTCCAAAGGAGGAAACGTCACAATTCCCTTACACCTTGTTTCATTGACTACTGAAACAGCATTTTTTTCTCCAGAGATTAGAGGGTTTTCCATTCTGTTTTATGTAAACATCTTTCTACCTTTCAAAACCATTAAGCCATTCATTTTTTTGAATTGCGGATTTATGAGCCATCCTTCTAAAACAAATATTCAAGGTGACATACAACAACCCCCACCAAAAAAACACCAAATAAAAATATTTTTTAAAGCACCACTTGCTCAATTATTGGTGTAAACAAGGTATAGTAGTCGCTCATCCTTTGGGGCATCTGGTATTAAATATGTTATCTAGTCCCATTTTCCTATGTTGCTTCTAAATAATTTATCATCTTTTTTTGCTCTTTTCTGAATCCACTCCAGGTTGCCTTAATCTTCCTTAAAACATGGAAACCTACACTGGTCCCATGTTACCAGCTGAGACTTAATCAGTGCCAAAGAAAAACAAGTATGTTTACTTCTATGCATGTCTTATACATTCTGCTGCTCAGTGCTGGATTAACCAACCCCATAATGAACTCTTTTTGAATCTGTATCTCACAAATTCAAAGCCTCTCTGCCTGCACTCATGCAGAATACAAAAGCAGGTCCTTCCATCTCTGAAATAATATGTTATTGCAATGGAAAGAAAATGCTCACACTATCCCACGAACTGGCACTATTCCATCACTTTGATTTGGTGGAATGAAAGGGGGTTTCAAATGGCTATTCCATGTGTTGAAAGAATATAGGACAGGGAGTGGTGCCTGGTGCCTACTAGACCTTGTGGAGCTGCTAGGAGGTCACAGGAGTGTGGCCATGTTGTTCTCTACCTTCCAAAGCCGCTGTGGACACTTAGGACTCAGCTATACAGCTGCAAATACAACATTTTAAGTGCATTATACAAATGTGACACTAGCTGGCGATGGTGAGCTTATGGCAAATCTATTTTTCAAAACGCTTTTTTTAAAAAAGCGTTTTCACAGTATTTTTTTATATGTGTCTAGATTCCACCTTAGAATCATAGAACTGTAGAATTGGAAGGGAATTCAAGGGTCATCTAGTTCTGTGTGTGAAGGGCTTCACCCTAGTGGTAGCAGGGATTCCAGTTTTCCAGCCCAGTTGTGAGGCCTCAGTGTAGCACTGCCTTGAACGGCAGACTGAACATGCTCAGAACTATACTTTTGGATTAGGGCTGGCCGAGTGTTACAGATACCTTATTAAAAGAAACGCTTACAGAGCTTCTCTGAGTTAAAATAGAAGTATAAAATGTATAGGGGACAGGAAAGAGTATGCGGCTTTGAGATTCTGGGTGAATTTTTTATGGTTTGACATTTTGTGAGGTAGCCCCATGCCCCTCGCAGGCATATGAAAAGGGCTCTGCTTGCAAGCTGGAATACTTATGTAGGGCACCTTGGGGAAAGGGGGCTGATCAGTCCAGGGTCCTGCCCCATACGAAGGAAGCTGTGCCTGCGCAGAGGTCCTTCACACACACAGGCCAAACCCATT